CGGCCGGCGAAGCCGGCCGATCCGACTGGCCCTCCCTCTCATGGAAAACTTCTCACCGGGACCCACTTCACACCCGGAAGGAGGATCGGCCGGCGAAGCCGGCCGATCCGACTGGCCCTGGATATGGTCATTCCATACTTTTTATGCATGGGTTTTGATGAATTCTATATTTTGTCGACGAAATTCGGCTTATCACTTCTCTGCCGGTCTGCGTATGCAAATAATTGGCACTTGTGGCCTATGGAAGTAATATCAGTGACCGAACAAATATCAAAAGAGTTCGTCTGGGTATTTCATGGAAGGCAAAGGGGCCTATGGCTCGGAATTAGCGGATTCCGGAATTCCAGCCAACCATGACTCGCCGCGCATTTACCCTCCTTCCTGACAATGAGTCTTTGAGAGAGATATTTCGCTAGTGGTACTCGTACGTGATCGCAGTCGTCGTATGTTCAGGCAGTCAAAACTGTAACCGGTCAAAAACTGTCACCAGTAAGGCGGAAAATGCAGGAAAAAGCCTGTCAAAAATACCATGACCAAGACCAGGCCATTAGTAAGATTCGGTTCATATTCGGCACGGTCTACAGTTCCTTTGGCTAGTTCATATTAACACAGGGTCTCACTTTAGTGGACCAGTGAGGACCTCATTTGAAGCTGAAGGAAACGGTACGCGGTTGGGGCAATTTTGGGACAGGGTTTTACAGGTTCCCATAAGGCGGCTTGTCCAAGCTTCGTTCACTGACATTTGGTGCCCCACCTGGCCAAACTGCATCGTCTGTTCTTTCAGCATGGCCGGAGCGAAACTTATAGAACATTTCATAAAACTGTTAGACTACCAAGCAGAGGGGTCTTCCATTAGTGCGGTTCAGAGTAACCTTCAGAAAACCCTGTTACACTACAGAGTAGAGGGTGCCAATAAACGATAGTCGGTGATGTTGACTCCATACCAAGGGAATCAAGGCCTTCTGTTCCCTTGGCCAGGTCGACATTTTAAGGACAGACTGCATATTGGGAACCAAAATTCATTGCCGATATCCACGTGATTACAAAATCTTCATATGCAACTCGGAGCAAGCCTACACCCTTCACAAGCATCCTCATTCCTACCCGCTAGCTCTTGAACGGATTTTGGAATTGGAACTTGAGCTACGGCGTCTCTGCACCCTCTAGCGGCGGAATCACGCCGCTTAGCACACGTTGATCGAATGATGCATAGATATTCCTACTGTGAGGTTTGTTTATCCAAACGTTTACCGATAACCCATAACATTTCTCATCCGACCAGCACGTCTTTCGGTCTGGGCTGGTCACCCAGAAGGGCGCTACCAGCTCATGAAGATGATCGCAAAATGGACTTTCACTCGTTTCCAGTAGGCAAGCAAGTCCCTAGGGTACCTCCGAGCAGGAAACCAATTATAACATATCTAATATTAAAATATACTATTAATATTAATCTAGTATTTAGTCGTTGCAAAAGAAATGCAGGATTTCGTTTTTTTGTATTTAATACTTATTTTATTCCAATAAAATGTAAGTGTTATATATCATTCGAAAGCTTATCTAATGCTCTTTCTAAATGATACTTCAAGATTGGTTGTAATTCTTTTTAGAGGCCACAAAATCGTTGAGGGTTTTTGACATCGTCTTGGTTTTTGAAGCCTTTCTCTCTAACCATAAGATAGTTGTCCAGATGCTTGAAAAAGTGGTGATCGGTGGGCGACAGGTCTGGTGAGTATGGTGGATGAGGCAGAGTTTCATAGCCCAATCCGTTTATTTTCTGGAAGGTAAAATATAGTGTGCAAAGTGTGGTCGGGCATTGTCGTGGAGAAGAGTCCGGAATCGTGGAGTCCCTTCATATTGACCAACCTTGGGCACATGCGTTAAGGCTTCTGATGCATTTCGTCGGATTGGGTCTTGACAGACTTCTCTGCCGTAATTGTTTCACCAGGATTCAGGAAGCTGTGATGGATGAGACCGGCGGCAGACCACCAACATGAAGTTCATCTTCAAGGCTGGTGTTGCCACAGCGAAACTTCTGGAACCAACGTTGGACCGTAGATTCGTTGATACTTCCTTGACCCCAAACTTCGTTGATGTTCCGAGCTGTATCGGCAGCGTTTCGTCCTAGCTTGAACTCATAGAAGAAAATAGTGCGAAATTCACGTTTCGACATCTGCAATAAAATGTCAATAAAAATTATAATAAAATGAATTACAACCAATCTTGGAGTATCATTTAGAAAGAGCATGAGATGAGCTTCCGAATAGTATATAACACTTCATATTAAAGTAACATATTATTGGAATAAAATAAGTATGAAATACAAGCAAGCAAAATCCTGCATTTCTTTTGCAACGACCTAATATATACAATATTGGCCTAGATGGGTTGCGGCATCTACATAGTGAACACAGGGCTTTATTCAAGGCAAATTGAAAAATAAACACTGTTCGGGAGGAATCATAGAAGGTCTGAAAAATATGGTCGATCCAATATCTACAATTGCCTTCAAATTTTCACCGTTTTTTTTTTATTCCATGGAGAAGATCTTGAGTAAAAATAATTTTGAATCCACCTATTCACCTCATTTTTGAGTGTTGTAGAGGGGCAGTCATATTTGTTCATTTATTTTCTCCATGAAATCAAAATAACCAAAATTCAGGCATATGAGTTCAATTCTGTTGAAGAAGGAGCTAAAAAAAAGAATGATGTTGTGGAGAAGAAGCGTCGAGACAAACCTGCGGTTTCTAACATAGTCCAGCTTCTGAGATCTTTTATGCCAATTCTACAATGGCTACCGAAGTAAGTCAATTGTTCATTTTACCATTACTTTTACTTACCGATTATACGATTCAGTATACTTTCACTATGTACTTGTCACGGAACTAGTAGCTCATTTCGGTTTAACTTTATTTTATTACAATTTTATTTACACTGCTTACTGCTTAATTTTATGTGTCTAATCGATTTTATTTATCGACTGATCGATCCCTGACTATCTAACTATCTACCTAACTATCTTTCTATATATCTATTCATCTATCTATCTATCTATCTATCTATCTATCTATCTATCTATCTATCTATCTATCTATCTATCTATCTATCTATCTATCTATCTATCTATCTTTCTATCCACCCAACTTAATTGTTCCTTTAATCATCCGGTTGATAGTTCACCTAAACTATGCGGAAGTACCGGTTTGAATGGTTGTGTTGTCCATCTGCACGATAATTCTAGTAATCGCCTTTATTCTACAAATCCACAATTGATAATCTTTGCGAACGAAATTTTTTGGAGATTCGAATTTGAATGGAACTAGGAGAGGTTTCTATGACCGTCAGCGATTCCTGAGGGACTAAACTGACTAAACTGACTGATAAACTTTCCTCGAAATCTGGGTCAGGGTTGGTGATGGGTATCGTACCGAGCGACGGGGAGGGTGGCGAAAGAGGCACTGCCAAAGGCGTAGTGCTTGCTACGGTTGTGGGTAGAATATTTGCTGGCACATTCTATAGGGTAGAAAAATTCAGCAGGCTATACTGAACAACTCCTTTTTTTCTATGCTCTTTCCTTTCCGGAATTTCTTCGAAGCATCAGTTTGGACCTACAGTAATCACTGCGATATAATATGGTATTTCATAGTATTTCTCAATATTTTTCGACTGAACTGCCGGAACCATTCCTTTGGAGCACGCCACGCCCTGCTTCATAGTACCATTTTGATGCGATGTATTCGCTTGTACGATTCGCGAGCTACCGACAGCCGTTTATTTCGCGTAGATGTAGTAGCTGGCTTTGTGATCTTCTGGTTATCTTTTGGGTATGTTGTTAGTTTTTGGTGGGTAATCGTTTCCGCAAATTCGGCAGCTTATCGAGCATGGTGTTTTGTCAAAAACGACCGCACAATGTTTGATTTCCATGTCGTACCGAAACGGTCTGTTTGTACTCGATATCAGGATCTTTACTGTTGATGGGAAAGGGGAGACCAAAAGGAAAGAGGCGAGGGAGGATGGGGTGAGGCATGAGGATGGCATTTGGACTTATTACGAAGAACCGGTTTTTTACCTTGGGACACTTATCGAGTTTCTGTAGTGTTCGGCTCTCTAAACGCGTCTAGTTGCGGTTCCAGATTCAGGGATAGTGCTTGATGAAGTGGCACTCAAATCAAAGCGGCTTCGAGGTGCTCTCAGGCTATTGACTAAATAAATGCGATTACCAGGTTCCAGAGAGCGGAGAAGGAAGCAGGGTTCTAATAGACGGGGGATCACTTCTTCCATTACCAGCCCATATATGTATCCTGCTCAGATTGATGGGCCACTCTTGTTTTTCTACCAGATATTACTCCAGCAGCAGACGGCTGCATTTCGATTTCAGTCTCGAAAATTGAGTTTCCCGACTCTCTTCAAAAAGTCACGAAAATCTGGACCATTCCTGAAAAGAGCCTGCAAAGGAATCTAATTTGTAACTCTCGGTGGAGAAAGTAAAACGCGAAAATACTAACCCTTAATGGCACACCAACGGGAAGCCCACATTTCGGCGAGACACAACATCTTATCTGATTTGATCTTACTTCTCAGCTCTGATAGCTCTCAGAAGCGCTTACAGTTCAATCCAAATGGCACAACTTGAGCGAATCATGCCGGTCTATGATCAGAAGCATGAATAACAACGCTTATCTTATCTTATGATTTATATGATTCGTGATTGAGCAGCGCGCCCGGGCGAACGCAGGAGGTACCATCCCGATTATGTTTCGGAAGCCATTTCGGTAATAATTTCGAAAATGGAGTGATCATTGTAACGAGTGAAGAAACTTGCGTAATTACGATGGTTTGCTAATCTGGAGCTGGAGAGACATTCCTAAACATTGCTTGGCGGATAGTTTCCGGGTCGAACTGACGAATCCCTATTCCTCGATGACTAGGGAATGAATGCAGACTAGGGATTTCCAAACTCCCTTGTCTGTTCTCTATGCTACTGTATCGTGTAGGTCTGTTTTATGAAGCAGAACAGAGTCAGACCTGTAAGTATGGCTCTCACGCGCTCTTCAGTTCTACAGCACAGAAGTCGGTACTTCCTTCTTACTAGGGAGGTCGTTCAGGACGTGGAGCGCTTTTTGAAAACGGTTTTTTGCATGATGTGGGGTCACGTGCATGGAGTACCAAACTGGTGTTCATTTTTCCTGAACGCCTCTGGGAATGCCAAAAATGGAGTGAAAAAGAAGTCCATGGAAACCGACTGTTTTTGAGCCTGAATGGGCTCTAAATCACTCGCAACTTCGGCCAGTTGCTGCCTATAGGGTCCTTATAAAGGTTGTACTGGTATCGATGAGAAAAGTAGTCGCCAATGGGGTCTTACTTGTGGCACGTAGTTAAGAGTCGACGGCTAGTTGGAATGGGCTCTTAAGCAATCGAGTGTGCGCGCCACGATCGGATGGCCTAGTGGATAGCGTGGAGGATTCTCAAGCAGGCGGTGGGGATGGGGGATGATGGTTCGACTCCCCTCGGCTTGCACGTTTTTGCATTTTTTATTTTCCGTTGTTGTCGCTTCCATATACGTCTGTTAATGAATTTTACTCGGATATCTGCCATTTATAGGCACATCCTAAATAGTTATACCCGTAGTCGGTGCTATTCAGCAATTTCACATTTCATTTCGATTCACAATTACATGTTAAACAAGAACTTGTCTGAAAGTTGAGCTTTATATGTTATTCGGTGCCCTGATCACGACTATGGCATTTACTTTCAGCTCTAGTGCCATTTATCTCCAATTTGGAGCCACGTCTTTCTCCCACTGGAGTCGCTATGTACATTCGTTTGAGGGACTTGCAGGGCCATTCTGACGCCAGATTGGGTTGACGTCAAGAATAAGTGTCAGAATCGTGATCAGGACCATCGATTACCCCTATAGGCAAACTTTCAGCCAAAAAATTTTTTTTGACTTTTTTGAGTCTGTGCATTGGGTTATGCTCAAGAGTCACTTTGTTGAAGTCGTACTTTTGCTGGTTATCGAAACCCTCATTCAGTGGTACGGAAACAAAAAACTAGCAACAACCATAAACGCCATCGAAAAAAGAACAAAATAGTCATCATTCCTCCAGGTGCATTTGAAAAAGTGAAGGAAATCTAATGAGTCTCTCCTCTTGGTAGGGGAGGACGAGAGCCGTCGCGGGGGTCGACATGTCCAGGATGGTTTTTCACTTGTTCTGCGGCCACCCATGCCCATGCCAAGTATGAATGGACCTTATGAGCACCAAATCCGCGATGCGGCTGCCCGGCGGCCCACCACGTCATCGCTACGTCATCGCAGCTCCAAAGTTGTGGGTCTCCGGTCATCACTGTCGACCAAATGGTCGGTCTATCACAACTCAAAAAAGTCAAAAAATTTTTTTTGGCCGAAAGTTTGCCTATGGGGTAATCGGATGCGTCCTGGTCGATTCTGACACTTATTCTTGACGTCAACTCAATTTGGCGCCAGAATGGCCCTGCAAGTCCCTCAAACGAATGTACATAGCGACTCCAGTGGGAGAAAGACTTGGCTCCAAATTGGGGACTACGTGCCACAAGTAGGACCCCATTGGCGACTACTTTTCTCATCGATACCAGTACCTTTATAAGGACCCTATAGGCAGCAACTGGCCGAAGTTGCGAGTGATTTAGAGCCCATTCAGGCTCAAAAACAGTCGGTTTCCATGGACTTCTTTTTCACTCCATTTTTGGCATTCCCAGAGGCGTTCAGGAAAAATGAACACCAGTTTGGTACTCCATGCACGTGACCCCACATCATGCAAAAAACGGAGTTAAAAAGCGCT